GGATGGATGGCTCGTTATCACCAAGCCAAAGCAGCGTCAGCAGCCAGCGGAATGCATGGTCCAGCCTCGTGATAAACGATACTGGCTCGGGCACCGAACGCCGTCCAATTAGCACCTCCCCGCTCTTATCCGGAGGCGTGGTCTTGGGTCCTGGTGGCTGAAACCGGCAGGGAATTGAATTTCTTGGGGGGGGCAAACGCTGACGGGAGACGGAGATGTCTGTCATATTGTTCGTCTGGTACCAAGCAAGTACAACATAAGTCTAACATGATGCGTGTGTCAGTGCTATCTCCATCATATTCGACACGGAGTCACAGGGCTCGCAGCGTGACCGCACATTCGTTCTTGAACTCGCCCTTGATAGCCGGCGGAGCAATCAAGCCTCTGCGATTGCGAGCCGGACAATGCCGTTGTTGTCTCAAATCTGCCAAGTTGTTAGTCATACCACCGCAAGCCGGGCTCACGATAAGCTTCATGCACAATTATCAAGTACGAACCGAACCCTGTAGCTTGTACCAACTCCAGGCCTCTTATAGCCGGCCAACTGACGGATCGTCGAGCCGAGGGTCCTTTGAGCTGAGACTTCTCCAGGCCGGTCCCCGCCTATTGGCTCTTGATGCTGGTGATTCGCTCGATGAAGGATTGCGTGCTGGTTGGATTGGACAAAATTCACTCCCAATGCTTGATTGTTCCAGGTGCGAATATTGACTGTGGGATTTAGGCCTTTTGCCTCAGCTGCCCCTTCAGGGGGCGCTCCTCCGTCCAGCAGCAAATCGAGCTGATCTTGCGTTGTCACAGCGGACCCTCGCCGCTGAAGGCCCACCGCTCAAGCCGCTGAGCCCCTACTAGTCACCAGACCGTAGCCGCTGTGAGCGCTGGGGGCGGTGCAATTTGGACGCTGCCGTTACCGCGCCCTGTGCCTGTACTCGAGGCTGTACCTGGCGCATTTGCCCGCCCGCTGCCTGGACACTTGTACCTGACCGGTACCTCTCCACGTCTCCTGCTCGCCAAGGCGGCTAGTGTGGCTGCTCCGTCATTTAGTGCAAGGACCTTTTGGCAGCAGGCAGCTCGTCCACTGACGGAGTAATCAATCAATGCCAATAGCTTGCACTTCTTTCATCCTTTCTCACACCAGCATTTTGCCTCAAGCTCTGTTTTCTTCAACCGCATCTCCTCTTTCCAGCATCTTCATCTCCTAATTCGGGCATCTCCAAACGCAAGCGGCATCAGCACCAGCATACAGCGCGACTTCGAATCGCCATCCTATCCTTCGAGTCTTGACTCTGCACGCCGCCGAACCTTATCTTGCCGTGTTTTGCTTTGTGTTTGTCACCGAGTCTCCCTCGCGATCAGGGCCGCATTCTTTGGCACTCCCAGACCGACGCATCTTCCTCTACGGCAGACCGATATGCGATAAGAGACTCGACTTTATTTTAGTTAGACAAAGCCTGGTCACCACAGCAGTATCGCAATCACAATGTCTTCGCCGTCAAGAAGCGGGTTAGCCCCCGATCCCGTCGCAATGTCATCCTCGCCCAGTCAGCGGCCGTTCTCGTCGTCTCTGCCCCGAGAAGAAGTCACTGCCAGACTTGCAGAGCCGGTGCGATCTTCGTCGCCTATGATGAGAAGCGGTTCGCCTCGTCCCGGATTCGCAAAGCCTGAAGGCGGCGCGCTTGGCGAGGGTTCAAGCTTCGCCCAAGGTCCTGGTGTATCTGCTCTGGCCGCGGCCTTGTCCGACTCCCTGGGCCAAACGCCGCCGCGACATGGCACTCCTCCAGCCCGCGTCAGCACACCGCCGGTCCGTCCGCTGTCTCCCTCCGGCATTGGCCGCTCTGCCACACCGACAAACTACGGCTCCTTTGACTCGAGAGGCCGCCCTGGTGCGGAGAGCACCGTGCCCTTTGAGGATCCGGAGATCATCAAGAGGCATCTGGTGCAGCCCAGCGAGATGGATAACCCCACGTCAGAGGCGTCATCAGAAACTGGCAAGGGCAAGCAGACGGCCGATTTCGGATTTGGTACTACCGGTCTGCACGAGGACGAGTTTTCGAGTCTGCGTCTGCAAGGTGGGGATGTGACACGGGGGATCTACAAGTGGACCGAGCAGGCAGAGGCCAGAACGAGAATGCAGCGAAGTAAGAGTTTCGATCATTCTAGGCCCGAGCCTGAAAACGACACCCTCGATATCAACTCCATCAAGGTGCCGGGTGGTTTCCGAAGGAATCATCTTCGAAGAAACGTCATTAGCCCTTCTGGACACCATGAGGATGGTTTCGGAGGTGCTGATTCCCCTGGCAGCAACCGACCACTGTTCACCTCAAGCTTTCTCGAATTCCTGTCTATATACGGCCATTTTGCCGGTGAAGAGCTGGAAGAAGATGACGAGGTCCTCGGCCCCAACGAATACTTCCAATCTGGCGAGGATAATGGTGAGGAAGAAGACGAGGAGCCCATGGAAGACAGCGCACTGTTGGGTCCTTCGAAAAAGAAGCGCAGGAGAAAGGTGCGCGGTGGCAGCGGCCAGAACAGCCAGATGAACGCTGCTCTGCTGCTGCTCAAGTCCTTTGTGGGAACCGGCGTCTTGTTCTTGCCGCGTGCCTACCTCAACGGTGGCATGCTCTTTAGCAACCTCGTTCTCCTCGGCGTAGCCCTGCTGAGTTACTACTGCTTCGTTCTCTTGGTCACAACGCGACTCAAGGTGGAGGGCTCGTTTGGTGACATGGGTGGTATTCTGTACGGAAAATGGATGCGAGCCGTTATTCTGGCTTCCATCGTTCTCAGCCAAGTCGGATTCGTCGCTGCCTACATTGTGTTTACCTCGGAAAACTTGCAAGCCTTTATCTTGGCCGTGACGGATTGCCGGACATCGATCAGCATCCCCATGTTGATTCTCATGCAGATGGTTGTCTTCCTACCCTTTTCCCTGTTGCGAGATATCGGCAAGCTTGGATTCACGGCCCTGATTGCCGACGCCTTCATCCTGATTGGACTTGCGTACCTTTTCTATTACGACGTTTTGACTCTTGCCGCCGAGGGCCTTGCCGACATCATCATGTTTAACCAGCGGGACTGGACGCTCTTCATTGGAACGGCCATCTTTACATTTGAAGGCATTGGTCTCATCATCCCTATTCAGGAATCGATGAAGCAGCCGGAAAAGTTCCCCAAGGTCATGTTCCTCGTTATGATCATCATTACCGTCCTCTTTACAGTCATGGGTGCCATTTCTTACGCCGCGTACGGCTCCAAGACGCAGACCGTCGTTCTCCTCAACCTGCCGCAAGACAACCGCATGGTCAATGTAGTGCAACTCCTCTACTCGATGGCCATCCTGTTGTCGACGCCGCTGCAGGTCTTCCCCGCCATCCGTATCGTCGAAACCGAGCTGTTTACTAGGAGCGGCAAGTACAACCCCTGGATCAAGTGGCAGAAGAACATCTTCCGCTTCTTCGTCGTCATGCTGTGTGCAGCTATTGCCTGGGGCGGCGCCGACAACCTCGACAAGTTTGTTGCGCTCGTGGGCAACTTTGCTTGCATTCCGCTGGTCTATATCTATCCTGTGAGTTCCATTCATACTCTTCTCTTGTATCTGTTGTATAAAGATGGTTTACTGACTTTGCTTTGCCATAGCCCCTGCTTCACTACAAGGCCGTTGCTCGAAGCAGGCTTTGGAGGTGGTCTGACATTGGACTGTGTATCTTTGGCTTCATCGCCATGGCTTACACAACCAGCTTGACCGTTATGAGCTGGGCCAATTCGGAACCCAAGGCTCCTGGATACTGTGACCGAAGGGGGCCGTAAATTTGGACGGTGCTGATGTAAGGGGGAGAAGAGAGCACTCTGTGTTTTGACATAGTTAGGTAGCAGTCGGTAAAGTATTTACTTTGTGTTTTTTTCGTATGTTTTACTAGGGCTTGGACAACTAGGACGAGGGATTGGGCTTGGATTACCGCATATTCAGATTGAAAGGACATGTATAGAGGAGGACGATTCATTTTGTGTAATTACATGTGGGCCATTGGGTAATTTCTATGCGATAGAGGGTGACCGTACAGATACAGAGAGGGAGCGATTGGCAGCATATTGTTTTCGTTTAATACATACATTAGGGACACTACCTTGGGAGCATGTGCATACACTGTCTATGCCGGCGAAGTTCTGAACGGGCATTCTTCCATCCACCCAACTAAATACAATTGATTGCCCTGGTAAACTACTAGGTACCTTTACAAGGCAACTAGGTACCTAGTAGCTCTCCTCCTGGGTACTAAATTGTGACTGTGGTAAGCCATACAGCAGATGCAGCAAAAGTTGCATGTGACTAGGTGACATCAACAGTCAGCATCACATGCGATGGGCATGGATTGGATTCAAGTTGAAAAAGCACCTACCCGATTTCGATGCCTCTGAATCGTCATGGATCATGGATATTCTCGGGCTCCCTGTAAAAGGTCCAGCCTAGCGCCGTGGGGCCGCTCCGTAGTGGAGATGGGGAACGCTGAGCCGGAGCATGGGATTCAACCTTGGAACTAAAAAAACAAAAGCCCGCGTTCTCGGTCTCCGAGACCTTTTCTAATTCCCTTTTATCCAATCCATGCTAATAATGGAGAGCTGCTAATTGGGCGGGATTACTGACTGCACTGCATAGCATCCGGCAGATCTGGATCTGGATCTCTCTTTCTCCGGAATCAATCCAGCATGTCGAGCGCTGGTCTTTGTCTTTACCCGTCGCCAGCATGTCGTTGCGCATGCCTCTCTGTGTCCACGTCTATATGCCGTTGAGGCCGACGACGACGAGGCTATCGCGCCAATTCAGCACTCTGCAAGCCAAGGCCAGGATCGGAGTTCGACACAACATTGCCCCAACAGCAGTAACAGTAGCGATACCCTCAAGACGAAGAAGCCTCACCTCGAAATCTACACGCCCGCATCCTCCCCCGCCGTTTCCCACCGTCTCGGCCTGTCCGTCGCCGACATGCGGTTGCGCCGACACGCCAGCCATGCCGGACGGGCTGGAGATTGACCGAGAGAACCCGCTCAACGGCGTCATGGCCGGGTATGCCGAGCACGTCGTCGTATGCACGGGTAAAGACGACTGGATGTCCAAGATTGAGGACGAGAACAGCGGCGACAATCTTGCGGCGGATCTGAAGGAGCTGTTTGGGAGAGGAGGGAAGTATACGGATGTAAGTGGGACATGAGAAGAAGGCCCCTTTGTGGGAATACTGAGACATGGAGAAGAAATCTAAAGCTAACTGGTCATATGATTTTGCTACGTGAAGCCGTTCCATCACATCTCCGTCATCAATTCCTCCTTTCCGAGCTCGGTGCCGCCCCGAAAGGAGATACAGTCGACGTCGGTCTACTTGCTGCCCAGCTTCAAGTACGTGCCTTTCTTGCCGCGAGTATCCTTTGACAGCGTTAAGGCACTTGCAAAGGGGTTCTTGCTGCCAGAGAAGCTACACCCAGCACACGCCGGGCTGTCACCTGTGCATCGCGATAGATTGACTCGAAAGGAGGCTTTTCAGGGCTTATTACCCGGGGTGCAGGACGTCAAGGATGTCCTTGTGCTGATATGCGGGCACGGCGGGCGAGATATGCGGTGCGGCGCCATGGGACCCGTGTTGAGGGGCGAGTTTGAGGAGAAGCTCGCGAGGCAAGGGTTCAACGTTGCGAGCGAAGCCGTTCAGATCGGGAGCTTGGATGGAAATCTAGAGATAGAGGGGAGCAGCAACGATAAGGTGGCCAGGGTTGGCCTGATTAGCCATATCGGAGGTCACAAGTTTGCGGGCAACGTGATCATCTACATTCCGCCTGGACATACGACCGCGGGGGGCGAGAAGCATCCATTGGCAGGCTATGGGATCTGGTATGGGAGGGTAGAGCCGAAGCATGTGGAGGGCATTGTGGGAGAGACGGTGATGGGGGGCCGAGTTGTGGAGGACAAGTTCCGCGGGGGGATCGATGCGCATCGACGGATCCTGCGGCTGTGACGGCGATGATCCATTGGATATGAAATAGACACAGATATACACATCACTAGTACGAGTATATATACCAATGCAAAAAGAACCATCAGACCACTTTGTGGCCGGGAAAGGAAAGGCAAAAACGTGGCGGAATCGGTGGTTCACATGTTCACATGCCTTCACGCAACGTGCAACATTATTAGACTCGGAGCTGCAGATGCAGCCATTCCGGTTGCATTCCTTCGATTGGGATTGATTGGCCATTAGCTCCCGCAAGTCGCTGCGCTACCCCAGCTTATCCTGCTCCTTGGCATTCCCGCCAACCGTCTCCCGGAATCAGTTACACCAACTAAACACCCCGTATTTGCCGCTTGGCAGAATCCATCACGGAAGGGAATCTCACCTGTTGCAGCGAGCATTACGACCGACCTACAGTAGAACCGGGCTTACAGCGCAGCGAAGGGGACCCTCGTGCCGACCCACACACTGAACTGCCCGTGCATCAGGTTGATTGATGACTGCATGCATCGACCGCAAGGCGTTTAGGGGTTTTCGAGGGCCGGGCGAATAGTGCCGTCTGGATGTGTATATAAGCTGCCGGATTCGGCCTCTGCCAGCGCGAAGGACCGATTCGGGAGTTGTTCTCTGCGAGCTACACAGATAAAGATAAAGAGAGCAGACGCAATCAATCATTTGCCTTTTTTTCTTGATTGACATTTGTCACCGATAAGGAAGAGCTAGAAGAAGAGACGAATCAGAAGAAAGAATCTCCAAAGAGGAACCTACCGCAGTCATGATGCCTTCTTCAGACCCCCTCGCCGGCCTCAACGTCTCCATCAGCCAGGGCAGCACCACGCCGCCCACCATCGTCGCCACCGTCAAGAACAACAACCCGCACCTCGTCACCATCGCCGCCTACCAGTCGCCCTTTGACGGCCTCATCCTCGAGACGGGCAACCTGTCCATCGTCCCCGGCGGCGCGGCCTCCGACGGCAACGACAGCGACAACAGCAGCAGTACTTCCGCCTCCAAGCCGCTCTCCTACCCGACCATCGCCCTCAAGCGCGCCTGGCCGCCCCCCAGCGACAGCCTCGTGACGCTCGGCCCGGGCGAGAGCCGCACCGCCGAGATTGTCATCCGCCACCCGGTGCCGGTGCGCCAGCTGGGCAGCTCGGCGACGGTCAAGCTGAGCGGCCACTGGATGTCCGTGTGGAAGAGGGCAAAGGAGGAGATTGGCGATGCTGACTGGGACGATGTGTCCAACCCGGATGAGTTCTCGGGCGTGTACGAGTCCAACAGCCTGGAGATTCTGATTGCGTGATTATCATTGATGACGACCTTTGTGCGACTTTTGAGATTTTGTATGCATTGCGCTTGTCTAGGATGGCGAAACGGCGTTTCTCATTTTGCTTTGCATTTTATCTTGTTGGATTGGAGTGGAAGCATTATATCGGTGGATTATATCCGTGGTTGATGGGATTCGGTCATTCACTTACACAGAAGGGACAGAGTCGGGACGCAGGCTAAACACGTGACTCGCCTTCAACCTTTTTTTCGTTGTCTGATTTTCACTACTTGATGAAGCTTCTCTGTACGGCAAACAATTCGTTAGTTGAGCAACATTGAATTGAATATATTACATCTCATATTTATAATATTAGCGTTTTCAATTTAAAGTTCCCTCCAATGTCAACTCGGAGAGCCGCTCTTTCGGCGGCAAGACTTGACCACTTTCATCTCAAAACGTCTCAGTCTCTCATAAGCGCCTTTTCAACAACCACAAGAACAACATCATCATCTACACGATGTCTCCGCCAATATTCCACCGCATCTCAATCTCAATCTCACTCCCGCCCCGTTAAAAAATCCCGGAAAATCCCCATCTTCATCACCACGGCCATCCTCGGCGGCACCATCTACTACTTCTCCTCACCCTCTAAACCCACCCTCCTCAACTCAGAAACCTTCATCCCCTACACAATAACCTCCCGAGAAGCCATTTCTCCAACATCATTCATCTTCACAATCTCGCCTCACACTCCAAATCCTTCTCTCCCGTATCTCACTCCTTCTACATCCTCGTGGCGCTACCCCCTCTGGTCCGTCGAGTTCAAGCAGCCCCAAGTCCAAATCGCCCGCCACTACACGCCTCTGCCTCCCCAGAGTTCCGAGGACCCGGCTAATGGATCTCTACGCTTCTACGTGCGCGCCATAGGAGGCGGCGAAATGTCGACTTATCTTAGCCGTCTCGGTGTTGGTCAAGATGTCTGGTTGAGAGGGCCGCACGTGGGCTTCGACGTCACGGCGAGGCTCGGCGCCATGGACAACGTCGTCTTCCTCGCCGGTGGCACAGGCGTCGTCCCAGCTATGCAAGTCGCCAAGACAGTGCTGGAGAAGAACCCGGATGCACAAGTAAATCTTCTCTGGGCGATACGCAAGCGGGAGGAGCTGCAGCGCGTCAACAGCCCGGTACGGCGGCCCTCGTGGTGGCTGTTTTGGGTTACGAATAGCAGCGAGCCGGTGGAATTGCATTCCCAGTTGCAGGACCCTAGCCCAATAGCAAAGCAGCTGAGGGCTATGAAGACGACGTATGGCCAACGATTGCGAATACAAGTCGCCATTGACGAGGAGCAGACACAGTTCCGTGAGGCTGACCTTGAAAACGCCATCTCAGGGGCACAAGACCGGCGTCTCTTAGCCAACCGTTCTATCACAGGCTCCGGATGCCGTCTACACGACTCAGCATTGTTAGAATTGACATCTGAATTTGAGACGCCTGCCGCTTCAGACGATTGTAAATGCGGGCATGGAGCTGGGAAGAACCTCTTCATGGTTTCGGGTCCGGATGGCTTCATTGCTCATTATGCTGGACCCAAGAGATGGCTCGGTGGCCAGCAGGTTCAAGGACCGGTGGGCGGCGTAGCAGCTCAACTTCAAAGAAGATACCCAAAGTTAGCAGACGACTGGCTCGTCCTGAAGCTCTAGCTCCAGCCAGGTGTACACGTAGAATAAAACAAAGCAAAACTTAGAACAGCCAAAGAAAGCTCAAGATATAGATCTGTTAAACACCGCCATTTATTGAATCCCGTTTTTCTCTGTCACCGGACGCCATGTCCATCCAAGCGGATGACAAAAAAACCGAGGCCAACAAGAATTCAAACACCCAAGAGTTAAATCATACGCCTACAAGGGGAGTAGCTGCTATATCTACATTTCCCTAATAACCGCTACTATATCTATATTTCTTTAATAACTATACTACATCTATATTTATATAGTAAAATATATATGCTGGTTGAATACTAGTAGGCGTTCTTCTGCTATACAAAAGTACCACTTAATGAGTTGATGAGGTGCTTATATCACTAGATGTATGTACTTATTTACTTTGCGGTCTCGCTTTTTCTGACCTCCTCTTGCCATCTTCTCAGCTGAGACAGCGCCAACCAGCACCATGTCAACTTCCGAAGAAGGTATGGAATTACGGATGCCTCAATAACGAGCAAGGACAGCAAGATTCACAAGAGTATAGGACCGCCGTTCGTGGTATTCACCACTATCAAGCAACTTATCATAATAAAGAGGTTCACATCTTCACACAGATACTCCAAGTATGCAACACATAACGAAATCGCTAACTCGCCAATACGCCCCCCCATCCCGCACCCTCTATACCCCTGCAAAACTATAGCTCAAATCACCTATTCTGCACCTTTCTATATGACGGTGGCTTCATCGTCCTGCTTATTAGCTTTCCTGCATACGGCGGAATTAGAGAGATGGATCCAATGGCCAAAACACGCCAGACGAATCCCCTATTGAGAAAAAAGAAATTGTATTAGCCTTCAGTCCGAAAGGGTGGCAACAACCCGGATGCATGAAAGAGGGGAAGAAGGCTTACCAAGTAATTAAAAATGCAAGATCAAAGTAGTCGCCCAGGAAAGGCATCGATCCAATGTAAAAGATGAACGTCCCCACAATGCTTATAATCATCAGAGGATGCCACGTCGTGATTTCAATCGCCACCATGAGAAGCTCGTTGAGCACCAGCACCGTGTAACTGACTGACACCATTCTCTTGCTGTCTACCTCGGTCAGGATCTGCGAGAGGCCCTGGATCATGCCGCCCTGGTAGATGGACACAAGGACCCAGACGAAGAATGTGCGGTAGGACAGGGACCGGCCAGAGGTGAGTTCCTTGTAGAGCTCAGGGTAGAGGTTCGCCAGGTCTTCGTCTACGTCCTTGTCCAGCACCAGAGATAGGACCGGCGCCGCGGTGTAGACGGTGGCATAACCAACCATGAGCCAGTTCTGTGCCACACGTTAGTTAAAGAACAAACAAACGAACAAATAATTTTTGCAAATCCCATGCTTCACGTACCTTGTACAAGCCTTCAGGCTCAAACTTCAGAGCTATACTATACATAGTTTGACAGACGGCGATGATGAGTCCACGATGAATGACAAACTGGGCCAGCTTCGCACTGCGCTTGTAGCTGTTCCGCCCATGCCACACCAACAACTTGACCAAGTGACAAAACTGCTCAATCGAAAAGTCTGCTGCCAAACTGGCCTGGCGACCCTCCTTGCCGACGATTCCGACTCCCACGTCAGCGGCCTGGATCATGGAAACGTCGTTGCCACCATCGCCAATACAGCACACTCGCTTCTTTGTATATTCACGAATGAGTTTTGCAACCTCGGCCTTTTGCGTCGGTGAACATCGACAGGCCACCACAGTAGGCAAGAGAACAGCAATAGAGATGAATTCGATGCGGAAGTGCGTCAGAAAGAGCGCCAGGCTTTCTCCGTCAATCAGTAGGCAGGCGTCAGTTTTGCTCCGCAAAAAGTCCAGATGCTCCTGGGCATTGTCCTTCCTATTGAGCTTTGCGACGGTGTAAATGTATTGGCCTCGCGCAACCAGTTTGGAGCTGATGGCAACACATCTTGCCGTCTCAACCTTGTCGCCCGTCAGCATCCAAATCTTGATGCCGGCGTTTCGCAGCAGTTCCAGCGAGGGCTTGACGTCTTTCTGAAGCTTATCCTCCACGCCCGTCACGCCCAGCAGTTCCAGGTCGCTCTCGAGGTAGCGTGAGACAACCCGCTGCATCCCAGCATCCCGTCCCGTGATAGAAAGTGAAGCCTCGTGGTATTGAGAGGCAAACTCCTGATACTGCTGATGAGAGAGCTTCTTCCGTCCGACGACAAGAGTTCGCAGTCCCTCACGCGCCATGTTGGCCGTCTCCTCATCGAGCCAGTCATTTGCTGCCACAATTGAGCTCATGACAGTGTCTGCACCCTTTTGATAGAACCAGATTTCGCCGTTGCCGAGAGCGGGGTTGGTGTGTATGTTGTCGAGAAACTGGACCACGATTCCCATGCGTTTGCCTTCCGAGGTAAATGGAAAGACGTCAAGAATCCGTACTTTGACGACGGGCTTTCCAGTCTCAGTGGATTCCAAAACCATTCCTTTGCGGTCACGGTACGATAACTTTAGTCCCACAGATTCAGTCCACCTCACAATAGCAATCTCATCTGGAGAAGATGCTTGATACGATGTTACCTCCTTGCCGTCTTCAATTTCTGATGTTGGTGTCACATTGTGGCAGAGCGCAAGAGCAAGCACGACATCTCGCACACGGGACCCGATTTCTCGTCGTGTGCGAGTGGCTCCTATGTTGACTGTATTGGACATGGCTGAAGAAGGAGTCATCAGTGTGCCGTGAGACGAAGGGTCAGTGGTGGGTTGGACATAAAAGGCCTGGCGGACATAGGAGGTGACTTCATCCATAGCTTCGTTGGCGTATGAAACGGTTCCAACATGAATCTTCTTCATTTCCATGTCATTCTGGGTCAATGTGCCAGTTTTGTCGCTCAACAAATACTCGATCCGTCCTAGATCCTCTGGAATAGTGCTTGTACGCACAACCGCCCCTGGAATGCCTGGATCTCGTTGGATGAATCGTGAAAAGGCGCTCTTGCCCAGATCTAAGTTTACTCGCAAGCTGATTGGCACAATAGTAGAAAACAAGACAAGGAATCGCATGATCTTGATGTACCAGGCGTTTTCGCCACTCTTTTCGAAGCCTTCAAGGGCGACGAGTATGACAGATAGGGCCAGCGTGAGAGCACAGAGGATCTTGGTCAGGGAGTTGATCTCATATTCCAAGAGTCCAGTTTTTGAACGAGACGGAGAGGTGGAAAGCGCGGATCGGGTCTGCGGGCCGGTGTACAGTATGACTGCAAAGGTAGTGCCCTGAGAGGCAATGACAGTATTGGCCCAAGCGGTGTTATCGATGGACAGCGCTGCTGATCTGGCATCGTTGCTCATTTCGCCGTCCGAAATGACTTGCTGGCTGGTTGCCGCCTGTCTAGTAGCCATCAACTCGACCGTTCCAACAAATTCGTTGACCTTCTTGTCTGGCTTGCCGGCTGTGATGCGAAGGCGGACAAATTCTTCCAGAGCAATACCCTGAGTAAGCGGAGACGCCAATCTCAGTTTCCAATCCGTCTCTCCGTCCAATTGGTCGGTCCTGATGAATGTTTCTCCAGAGGGGCCCTTGCTCGCTTCGTCGTCTTGGGATGCCGGTGCCTCGGGCGCTTTGCCCTTAGCACTGGAGCTAGACTCCCCTTCTTCGAATGCGAGAAGCG